CCTCGTCCTCTTTGATTCGTATGTATGCTCAACGCAACTTAACCTACTTTCGTCCTTCTCTCTCAACATGGGAGCCTATTAGAAGCAATATTACTCATGTCGTGGACTGCAGCTTTATTGAACACCGGAAATCCGTGTGTGGTATTCTGATGGCTGAATCGTGCTGAAAACGATCGAGCTCAGGAGTTTCTAAATGTTGTAATCAAACTTCGCTGATGTTACATTCTTGAGAGGAATTATGCTTTATTGTTTCCTTATTACTTCGATTATGTTACGCTGCTGCATTTGATCGCTGTGGGAGTAATGTGTGGCTTTGTTTTTCCTAATACGTAGCTAAAGGATAACTATTTCTCGCGTTTTCGTAAAGAATTTACAGAAATACGTCTGACTGACCGACTATCGGTCCGCATTCAACAACACGAGAACTGCATTTCGAATTGTCATAACATTTTAAACTGGGAAGTTTTATTACAATTTGTCGACACACTCCAGTTTTGGTTGAAATCGGGCAACAATAACAGGCATTTTACGCGCGTTTCTGCGTGCGGAAAAGGCCTTCCTTGAATTTGTGCTTGTCTCTTGAAAGTCTTCTGGTGCCTAATGATTTAATGTATTTTAGTGTGTGTGCGTATGAGAGAGGGGGGGGGGGGGGGGGGGGAAGCCAGCCAAACGCCAGGAACCCTGACCATGCAACACGTGGACGACGTGACATCTCCCAGCTAGACAGGTGCCAGACTTTTCGTCATGCAAAGGTTATTGACCCCAAACAACTCTGACGTCACCGGTGCCATTTATAAAGGTCAAAGTTCTTGTTTTCTCCTGTCCAGATACACACACGTAGGCTATTTAATGGAGCATACATGAATTACAAATTCAAAGACAGTAAGTAACAGACCTAACGCACCAGAATTGTTTTACATCATGCTTACATTTTCTGACATATATAAGATTACAAGAAAGTCAACATAGTGGAAACTAATTTTTAAAATATTAAAACATTTTTAAAAAGCAAGAGAGACAAAAAAGTAACACAGATGTCGATCGTAGTGAAGTCATTGGATAATCTTGCAAAACAACGCTCGATTTCGTCACGAAATGGGTTTCCAAGAATATTCTCTTGGTGTGCTTGTGTTTTGGCCAACATTGTGGAATTTACAGATGAAACAGGATATTGAAAGTTCTACTTCTTTGGCATTACGAATCAGTGCATAAAAGAGCATAAACGCCAGCGAGCAGGCTAATTCATGTGGTGGCGCGTCCACCTTGTATTCGAGAGGAGATCTTATGTAATTTTATTTGGGTTTCCGATTATTCCAACCGATATTCCACGTGGATTTCCTGGATTTTTTTCAGGAAGTTTCCGGTACTTTGACACAAGCAACGATTTCTGGAAACTGCTGTGCGGTCACTGATGAAGTTGAACACAGCTGTCACTTACCGGTTCCCGGTTGGACCTGCTGTTTTGGTGAGTTTATTTTATAGTGTTCTTGTGGTGATACTTTTCTCCTATCGGGAAACCTTGTAGCGCTTTGCGGTGAGTCAAGCGGTTCCTCCCGGTGGCCGGGAAGTGACAGCTACGTTGAGCTGCGTCAGTGAACGAACCGTATATTCAGAGTGATAAAGAGATTTGTAGGAATCGGGACGGGAAATGGCCAATGCTACTTAAGTGGTTTTGTACTGGGCAGGAACAATGATGTGGAATGTGCGGATCGAGGCCTCATACTTTCTATTGACGGAACTAAAGTCGCGACAACCATTGCAATGTTTGGGGCGATGGAATTAGGATACGAGCATCTGTCATTCACAGTCAGGATCAAGGACATTTCATTCAGTCCGGAACATGCCGCGCGATTTAACTCATTATTATTAGGTTACACCGATTTAATGATACTGTACAACTTAAGGATGTTATTACTTTTGATTGGATGTAGAAACGATAACTCTTGGCATGTAAGGATTTGGAATAAGCTGGGTGAAGTTGGTCGTGGATGTCGTCCAGGTAGCTGCTATAAGAGTCCCTCCGTTATTTGGGCTGTAGCTGCTGTGAGACTGTAATCTGGCGTGGTTGATATGGTGATTGCGTTGAAGGCAAGTGAGATCACCTTGGTAAGTTCTGTTTACTCCTCTCTGTATGTTAGCAGTTAAGTAGTTACACATTCGCTTGTCCCTACGATTGGTTAGCAGGAAGAGACAATAATCGAATTCCACGTTCCGTAATTTTTATGGAGAGTTTTCATATATGTTGACGTGTGTAACCGATCCATGTCCGAATTGCAAAGCCGGCAAAGAAGTCATCAACCGCCCCTCCCCCTACTCAAGAGATGATTTTATGAGTTATATTATTTCTACGCCTAATTCAGCGCACCTTCCTTACTCATGGCAATCCAGTCCGTAATTTTATTGGTCGTTGGCTAGTTCTAGATATTTAACTTTCCTTCTGCCTTATTGTACATAGGATGAGCCAAAATACCCTTCGAAACTGCACTTTGTTGTCTCTCTCGGCCGATGAATTGTCACGAGACAGTCATTTGAAGCTTCACTAATGAATTCTGTACTGGCGTGGTTGACCGGGCTTAGTAATATCCCGCCCTTCGCCTGAAGAGACTTAATAATACCATTACTACGTTTTAATTTGCTAAGTTGCACCACATTGTTTCTATAGGCTATAAGCATTTACGTTTGTAGACTGGTTTCTGAAGAGATGAACTTTTAAATTAACGAGAAATGTTTAAACTTTCGATCGTATTTGATATTCCTTGAACGACACTGTAATATTTTATATCACGTTAACCCAGTATTTTCATAGTTTATTAGATATGCCCATGCATTTCCCATGAAACACTTGTTTCAATAAAAAAAGAAACACGTGAAATTCCGTTAGTTTGATCCATAAGAATAGCCACCTGTAATAACATATTTACTGCAATTAATCGCTTTGCTAATAGTCGACGTCATTATTCTACTTGTTCTGCAATTGGTTTTCAATTGCAGTTGCTTTAATGGCCAAAGTAGGCTGATTTTGCCTAAACTTTTATCTCGTCTTCCTACTCATCGTCACGTGACTGATTCTGCGCAACTTTTCAAGTTTTAGTGGCGGATATAACGAATATTTTCGTTTCCGGGACGCTTTGTTGAGAGGCCTGTTCCTTTACATAAGTTTATTCAGTCTCGCAACTGGGCCGTTCAGGAAATGGCGCCCAACGTAGTTAGAAAAGGCACACATTTCTTTGTTATGATCTGTTCACAAGACAGTGTATCACCTCTTAACTCAGTGCAGACATAAGATGAACTTGAAACGTTTTGGATTTGCATCTGAGGTGAAAGACGAGGGCAACCATTTCTAGAAAAGCCAATCGCATGTCGTGATTAGACCACAAACTTAAGTAGGATTAAACAAACTGGAAAATTTTTACTTTCCGAGTAACAAAAATTATGCAGCTGTCATGTTTAACCAAAAAATTCCTTAGTCTCATACCACTAAGCCTGCATCCTATTGTGTTAAACAGATGTTGTCTCGTATGTTCTGGATGTGACGAATGTGGTGTGAAATATTCTTCGAAATTAAATGTATGCCTTCACGCCAAAAAACGGGAACGTTCAGAATGAACGAAGTGGTAGAATATTTGCCAGGGAAATCAGGATAATCCTTATAAAAGTTACTGTAGCTGACATTTGCCAGTCGTAGTTTCCTCGTAAAAGAACTGGAACTGCCCGGTCTTAGTAAGGCCAACCGCACAACCTTGACTGTCCAAAATCAAGTGTTTATAAATATAAGCATTTTACGTTGGTATTTGAAGGATTTAAATAAACTAGCTCGAAGACTAACGGTATCGAGAATACATAAGGAGAAATGTGGCAGGGGCAAGAATTGTTTGATCTTATTTTGTGCAGCACTAATTTAAATAC